AACAGATCCCCACAGAAAGTGAGATTCAGATATTTGTACTGGAAAACAAGACAAAAATACTGAAAAATAAATTTTTGCAACAAACAAGCCACATAATATCGGTTTTCAGTGTCAGGGAGTTGCTATGGGGTTACTAGGGTGTTCTGGTGGTTGCTATGAGGTTTCTAGGGTGTGGGTGGTTGTCAGGGAGCTGCTATGAAGTTGCTAGGGTGTTCTGGGTGGTTGCTATGAGGTTGCTAGGGTGTTCTGGGTGATTGCTATGAATTTGCTAGGATGTAGGTGGTTGTCAGGGTGTTGCTATAAGGTTGCTAGAGTGTTCTGGGGATTGCTATTAGGTTTCTAGGGTGTGGGTGGTTGTCAGGGAGCTGCTATGAAGTTGCTAGGGTGTTCTGGGTGGTTGCTTTGAGGTTGCTAGGTTGTTCTGGGTGATTGCTATGAAGTTGCTAGGAGTTGGATGGATGTCGGGGAGTTGCTATGAGGTTGCTAGGATATTCTGGGTGGTTGCTATTAAGTTGCTAGGATGTGGATGGATGTCAGGGAGTTGCTATGAGGTTGCTAGGATGTGGTTGGTTTTCAGGGAGTTGCTATGGGGTTGCTAGGGTGTTCTGTGTGGTTGCTATGAAGTTGCTAGGATGTGGGTGGTTGTCAGGGTGTTGCTATAAGATTGCTATAAGGGTGTTCTGGGGGTTGCTATGAGGTTGCTAGGGTGTTCTGCGTGATTGCTATGAATTTGCTAGGATGTGGGTGGTTGTCAGGGTGTTGCTGTAAGGTTGCTAGGGTGTTCTGGGGGTTGCTATGAGGTTTCTAGGGTGTTCTGGGGGTTGCTATGAGGTTTCTAGGGTGTGGGTGGTTGTCAGGGAGCTGCTATGAAGTTGCTAGGGTGTTCTGGGTGGTTGCTATGAGGTTGTTAGAATGTGGGTGGTTGTCAGGGAGTTGCTAAGAGGCTGTTATGGTGTTATGGGTGGTTGATATGAAGTTGCTAGGATGTGGATGGATGTCAGGGAGTTGCTATGAGGTTGCTAGGATGTGGTTGGTTTTCAGGGAGTTGCTATGGGGTTGCTAGGGTGTTCTGTGTGGTTGCTATGAAGTTGCTAGGATGTGGGTGGTTGTCAGGGTGTTGCTATAAGATTGCTAGGGTGTTCTGGGTGGTTGCTATGAAGTTGCTAGGAGTTGGATGGATGTCAGGGAGTTGCTATGAGGTTGCTAGGATATTCTGGGTGGTTGCTATTAAGTTGCTAGGATGTGGATGGATGTCAGGGAGTTGCTATGAGTCAGGGAGCTGCTATGAAGTTGCTAGGGTGTTCTGGGTCGTTGCTTTGAGGTTGCTAAGGTGTTCTGGGTGATTGCTATGATGTTGCTAGGATGTGGGTGGTTGTCAGGGTGTTGCTATAAGATTGCTAGGGTGTTCTGGGTGGTTGCTATGAAGTTGCTAGGAGTTGGATGGATGTCAGGGAGTTGCTATGAGGTTGCTAGGATATTCTGGGTGGTTGCTATTAAGTTGCTAGGATGTGGATGGTTGTCAGGGTGTTGCTATAGGATTGCTAGGGTGTTCTGGGTGGTTGCTAGGATGTGGATGGATGTCAGGGAGTTGCTATGAGGCTGCTAGGGTGTTCTGGGAGGTTGCTATGAAGTTGCTAGGATGTGGATGGATGTCAAGGAGTTGCTATGAGGTTGCTATGAGATTCTGGGTGTTGCTATGAGGTTGCTAGCATGTGGGTGGTTTTCAGGGAGTTGCTATGAGTTTGTTAGGGTGTTCTGGGTGGTTGCTATGAGGTTGTTAGAATGTGGGTGGTTGTCAGGGAGTTGCTAAGAGGCTGTTATGGTGTTATGGGTGGTTGATATGAAGTTGCTAGGATGTGGATGGATGTCAGGGAGTTGCTATGAGGTTATGGGTGTTGCTATGAGGTTGCTAGGATGTGGGTGGTTGTCAGGGAGTTTCTATGAAGCTGCTAGGGTGTTCTGGGTGGTTGCTATGAGGTTGCTAGGATGTTGGTGGTTGTTAGGGAGTTGCTATGGGGTTACTAGGTTGTTCAGGGTGGTTGCTATGAAGTTGCTAGGATGTGGGTGGTTGAGTTGCTATAAAGTTGCTAGAGTGTTCTGGGTGGTTGTCAGGGAGTTGCTATGGGGTTACTATGGTGTTCTGGGTGTTGCTATGAGGTTGCTAGGATGTGGGTGGTTGAGTTGCTATAAAGTTGCTAGAGTGTTCTGGGTGGTTGTCAGGGAGTTGCTATGAGGTTACTATGGTGTTCTGGGTGTTGCTATGAGGTTGCTAGGATGTGGGTGGATGTCAGGGAGTTGCTATGGGGTTGCTATGGTGTTCTGGGTGATTGCTAGGATGTGGGTGGTTGTCAGGGAGTTGCTATGGGGTTACTGTGGTGTTCTGGGTGTTGCTATGAGGTTGCTAGGATGTGGGTGGTTGAGTTGCTATAAAGTTGCTAGAGGGTTCTGGGTGGTTGTCAGGGAGTTGCTAAGGGTTACTATGGGGTTCTGGGTGTTGCTATGAGGTTGCTAGGATGTGGGTGGTTGTCAGGGAGTTGCTAAGGGTTACTATGGGGTTCTGGGTGTTGCTATGAGGTTGCTAGGATGTGGGTGGTTGAGTTGCTATAAAGTTGCTAGAGTGTTCTGGGTGGTTGTCAGGGAGTTGCTATGGGGTTACTAGGGTGTTCAGGGTGGTTGCTATGAAGTTGCTAGAGTGCTCTAGGTGGTTATCAGGGAGTTGCTATGGGGTTGCTAGGGTTTATTGATCATTGCTATGAGGTTGCTAGAATGTGGGTAGTTGTCAGGGTGTTGCTGTGAGGTTGCTAACGTGTTCTGCTCATGTTTTGCTGTCTGGTGAAAATCACACTTAGCAAATTAATACCAATAATTACCCACAATTGAAGAATTTACAGTATCTCAGTGCCATTGATAAATAAATCACAGAAACACAATAAATCTGAAGGATTATTCACATCACTGTAGTGAAAACGGCAGGAAAGCTGAGGCAGAGCCACACTGTCCGCTGCTGGCGAAGTTCATGCATCACAACTCATGCTAGACGACATGAAATCAAAATGAATACACGTTTGGGAATAACACACATAAAATGTCCATATTACCTGACAGATAACAGAAGATATTCAGCTTCAAATCCAAGCTGCAGTGAGGACATTAAATGCGGGATGTGTCTAAATCAAAATAAAACATACGTACTGATCATTGAACCAAAGACAGGAAGAAGATGAAGTCATACTGTTAATGTTCATTCACATTGGCTATAACCACATGAATTATTTATCAGCTTCTCTGTTGACAAGATGAAACTCAAGTCAACAGATGAAAAAATTAATAACTTATGCATGTATAAGTGATTTACACAACACTATCCAGAAATGTCCTGGTCATATTCTAAATTAAAAAAAAAAATGTAAAAAAAACATTCAGTAATAAGAATTAAGTTTTAACAAAACAACGATAAAATTGCTTTTAGAATATTTATATTATTTCATAATTAAAATTTTAAATGCGCATATTAAAAACATGTTTATTTTTATATATAAATTCATAATTATTATAATTATATATATATATATATATATATATATATATTAAATAAATTTCTATAATATGGAGTGAATTCAGGTAAACTCTTGACACTTTTTGCCTTGGGGAAAAATTTACAAATTAACCTGAATTCACCCTAAATATTGAATTCTTAATATTTTAAAATATTTTACAATTTATTTTATATTTAAAAAATGTATAAAATACTACGGTTTTAAAAATAAAATATAGTAAAATATTAATAAGTGAAATATGTAAATATTTGTGACCAAGGCATTGTTTCCATTAGACAGCTTTACCTGAATGCGGTTTTAGTTTTCAGAATCTTTTTGATTGGATTTTAAGTTGGTGAGCATAATGTTTAATTTCAATAATAATAATAATAATAACAACTTCATACTTTAAGCAGACAAAGCAAAAATAAACTCTGGAAAAGAAAGTTTATTCAGGTTCTCAAGGCATCAGTTTCTCAAACATTCAGTAATAAGAATTAAGTTTTAACAAAACAACGATAAAATTGCTTTTAGAATATTTATATTATTTCATAATTAAAATTTTAAATGCGCATATTAAAAACATGTTTATTTTTATATATAAATTCATAATTATTATAATTATATATATATATATATATATATATATATATTAAATAAATTTCTCAACTTCATACTTTAAGCAGACAAAGCAAAAATAAACTCTGGAAAAGAAAGTTTATTCAGGTTCTCAAGGCATCAGTTTCTCAGTGAAAAATAATGACATTATTAATCAAACAGCTTTCATTCAACTGGAGTTAATAAACAAACGAACACAGTTAATTTGGTTGTTTAAAGCTCCACGTCTTCAGTGGAAACATGATGAGTGATTGATTGAGGACAGTCTGTGTTTGGAGTTTCGTCAGCGAATCGACTCATCCTGCTCATTTACGACTGAACGCACAGTTCTATATTCCCAAATAAAAAGAGTCACATCGAGATGAAGTTCAACCCAGTAAGCTATTGCACATTCTCACTGCATTTATAATTATATACACACTCACTCACTCACTCTCACTCACTCACTCACACACACACAACACACACTCACACTCTCTCTCTCACACACACACACACACTCTCTCACACACACACACACTCACATACTCACACACACTCACTCACTCACGCACTCTCATTCACGCACACACGCACTCACACACACACATTCTCACTGCATTTATAATCATACACACACTCACACACGCACGCACACTCACTCACTCACACACACTCACGCACACACATTCACACGCACGCACACACATTCACACGCACGCACACACACACTCACACTCACTCACTCACTCACACTCTCACACGCGCACACTCACTCACACACAAACACACACACACGCACGCGCACACGCACACACGCACACTCACACGCACACTCACGCACTCACACAAACACACACACACTCGCACACACATTCACTTACGCACACACACACACACACACACACACACACACACACTCACTTATTCTCATCTTTAAACACTTAAAATCAGCTTTTAGTTTTGTGCCCCTCCATGTCATGATCAGAAAAAACATCTGGAATTATACATATAAAAAAAAAGACAAAAAAATATGAACAACTTTCCAGAAGAGTCCAGACCAGTTCAGACCAGCCCAGCTAAAACCAGTGCAGCAAAACCAACAATAATCCCGTCAGGTTTTAATAAATTACTCGTGAACTGAAGTGTGTTTGTGTGCTGAAGGGAAATGAATGAATGAATGAGCGGCTGGAGATTCTGGGCTCTGGTTTTGTTCAGTAGGCCGCTGTGGGCGTTTCACGGGCGGAGCTAAACAGAAGCTCCGCCTTCGAGCTGATGAAGTACGTCACCAATAGAGACAGCAGCAGCACGGCCACGCCCACTCCCAGAGTTAACATCTACCAGACACAAACACAGAGAGGAAATACAAATAAATAAATCACAAAATCAAAACCTCATTTCACCTCAAAATTAAAGGAGGAAAAAAAATAAGAAAATATATTTTGCATAAAGAAAATAATGCATATTTTAAGGTTAATTATGATTTTGTACATTATGACATTATTTACATGATGACAATTAAAAACATTTAACCCTAAATTCTCAATAATGTAATGCAAAACATTTGCATGTCGTGGAGGAAAAATAAGAAAATATATTTACATAAAGAAAAGAATGTGTGTATAATGTATTTCTAGATTTATTGTACTGAGAATACTTGCTTTATTAGACATAATCAGGTCGCATTTCACTTTAAAAATCGGAAAGAAAATAAGAAAATATATTTTTGCATTAGAACAATAATGCATATTTTAGGTTCATTATGAGTGTTGTGCATTAAGAAATAATTTACATGAGAATTAAACACATTTAATCCTGAATTCTTAATACTGTAATGCAAAATTCTTGCATGTCATACTGTATTTACTGTACTGAGAATACGTTGGATACTCGGATCGCATTTCACCTCAAAATCAAAGGAGGAAAAATAAGAAAATATATTTGCATAAAGAAAATAACACCTATTTTAGGTCCACTGAGATTTTTGTGCATTATGCAATTCCAGTAAAATTACATGAAATGAAACACATTTAAATCCAGATTCTCAATACTGTAATGCAAAACATTTGCCTTGTCATACTATAGATGCATTTTTTATTAAAATCTGCAAAAAACTTATGCCTTATAAAATATCATGATGCAGTACAAATAAGAAATATGACAGACATGTATTTAATAGATTTCCGGTAGTTCAAAATAAATCTGATTTCTGTTTATGGCAACTGTGACAGTTTTTACATAATTAAAATACTATTATTGTTTTATTAATACTTTGAATTATATTTTTATATTTTCTGTTTTCATTTTAATTAAAGTTCATTTTTAGTAATTTTATTGTGTTTTTGCTCTCATTATTATTAGTATTATTTTAAAATATGTCAATATAATTTTTAATCATTTTAATTTCAGTTTTAGTTATTTTAGTAAATCAAGCTAAACTAAAGGGGAATGAAAAATGTTGCTTTGGCCACTAGCTGATTTCTGTTTATTTTTTAAATGTTTCATTATATTTAAATGAATTTATTTAATGTATTTAGTTGTAATGAACTCTAACAGTGCTGCATTACCTCCAGTTCTCTGCTGGCCACCAGAAAGATGCGCGCCCGGATGCTCTTCCAGCGGGACTCGGTCCATGTGGAATAATTTGGAGAGCCGTACTCCAGAAGCTCGAAGGCAGGAGAGACGGCTTTGGAGAGACGCACGGACGCTCGGACGCAGAACGGCTCTCCGGTGCTGTTGAGCGACGCCGGACCCGACACCCAGAAATACGAGAACAACTGAGAGAGAGAGCAGACACAGAGCATCAGAGCAGGGCATTCTGGGAAACACAGACACAGGGCATCAGAGCAGGGCATTCTGGGAAACACAGACACAGAGCATCAGAGCAGGGCATTCTGGGAAACACAGACACAGAGCATGAGAGCAGGGCATTCTGGGAAACACAGACACAGAGCATGAGAGCAGGGCATTCTGGGAAACACAGACACAGAGCATCAGAGCAGGGCATTCTGGGAAACACAGACACAGAGCATGAGAGCAGGGCATTCTGGGAAACACAGACACAGAGCATCAGAGCAGGGCATTCTGGGAAACACAGACACAGAGCATGAGAGCAGGGCATTCTGGGAAACACAGACACAGAGCATGAGAGCAGGGCATTCTGGGAAACACAGACACAGAGCATGAGAGCAGGGCATTCTGGGAAACACAGACACAGAGCATGAGAGCAGGGCATTCTGGGAAACACAGACACAGAGCATGAGAGCAGGGCATTCTGGGAATATATATATATATGCACAGAAAACCAAAAATAATTAATATAATAAGAAAATGTTTTAAAAAATATTTTTAAAAATGTATTTATCATTTTCCTTTGTTTACCTCATTATATGTACATCCAACTTTACCTGTATATATATATGCATATAAAACCATAAATAATGAATGTAAAAATAAATAATACAAATAAATAACTGATTTAAAAATGACTGAAACTGAAAATTTATTAATTATAAAATAAAATAAATAAAAATCAGTCCACCACCTTGTATGAAAATATTTACTAGGCTCGTCACAATGCATTCTGGGATTGTGTGGTCTATGTAGGACATTGACTTAATTATTAATCTTTTGGGGTCGTTAAAAACCTAACGACTCATTTGAAACCAAAACCAGGGGCCAGCTGCATAAACACTGTCACCATGTAAAGACTGTGTCGTAAGAACCAAGAGGTTATCAGTTTTTCTGTAACTGACTTTAAAACGTTATGATTTCATACTGTAAACCCTTGATTTCACTGCAAAATTTTTTTAATTGAATTTCTTTATTGTTATTGTATGTGTACAACTTTCATTGCACCCACCAACAAAATTTTACATGAAAACTCCACACTAAATGCAGTTAAAAAAATAAATAATAAATAAATAAAAGTAACAATCTAATATATAATCAGTCATATAATTTTCTTAGTATTTTTGTCTTGTTTTCTAGTACAAATATCTAAAGGTTCTTGAATCTAGATGCATTTACTTGACAGGTGAAATGACTTAAGATTTGAAGTCTTGTTTTCCAGAAAAAGGATTAAAATGTAGTTAGTTTTTGCTTAAAACAAACAAAAATATCTGCCAATGGGGTAAGAAAAGTCATCTTCATTAATTTTTCTTGCCCCATTGGCAGATATTTTTGCTCATTTTAAGCAAAAACTAACAAAATTTTGATCCTTTTTTTGGAAAACAAGACTTAAAATCTTAACCTCTTAAGACCTGGCAAAACATTTTAGGAAAAAATTTGTATTTTTTAATATCATTGCATAAGTTATGCTACGTCCTTGGTAGAGGATTTTTTTTTTAAATCACCAATACATTTGTAGTTTTCAGGATTGTTTTTTTGTTTTTTTTACCAAACTTTGTATAAAGATAATTCTCAACTATGTTATAACAGAATTATTTGATATACCACTTTTCTTTATGCAAAATGTGTGTAAAATGGCCATAAACAGGTTTTCTCATTATATATAATGTATCTATAAACTAAATCTAATTTGCATATTAATGTGTTTTTGGGGTAACGTAATGAAAAAAGAAGTGTAATAATGGGAGTAACAACTGACAAGATTTTCATAATAATATATAATATTTCATAGGAATATTGAAATATAATTTATTTTCCTATTCATTTGTTGTGTCTCCCAAAATGCTAATAAACATGCTTTTAGTCCCGGTGTCCTCATATGAGGACATGCATGAAATCAACGTCCTGTTTCGAAACAGAAAGTCATATTTTGATTTTAAACCCCATAACATTTTCCTGAGATGTTGATTAATGACACACAGTTTAAAAATTAGTCAGATTGTCACTAAATTAATATCAGACATTTTTGAAGACCAAGGAGAGGGAGTGTTGATGGTGAAACATCCAAACTTTTAGTATCTCTGAAAAGCCCTGAATGTGCTCTGTACAGGACATCCAGACTTAAAATGGTGGCATGTATAGTCTCAGAGAAATACACTAAAATATAATGTCCTCATATGAGGTCGCAGGGTCTCAGGAGGTTAAGTAATTTCACCTGTCAAGTACATGCATCTTGATTCAAGAATGTTTAGATATTTGTACTAGAAAACAAGGCATAAATACTAAGATGATTTTTTGCAGTCAGTGAGATGAAGGTCTGCTCACGTCTTTGTTCTCGGTGTTGATCTCGCTGGGATTCTGGCACTGGCTCTCCGTGAGGTTGGTGACGGTTCCCGTCAGATTAGCCAGAATGTACTGAACGAAGCGCGTGACACTGTGAACTGGGCCGTGGATGCGAGGACTGAGTCCGATGTAGAACTGAGGAGGACCAGAACCTAAAAACCACAGGAGACGCAGTCAGAAACATGCTGATGCTCCTCCCGCTGTCAAAAACCACTTCTATCTGCGTCTGTTCCTCACATCAATCAATCATGTGACTTCTGATGTGGACTACTTTTTTACACTTTCACTCCATGCAAAGATATGCCACTTTATGTTGCATGGAGGAAAACATCATTCATAGGTTTGGAACAACATGAATAATGATTTGCTTTCATGTTCGGATGAACCAACTTCCTTTATATATCATATCATATCATATCATATAATTTATATGTGTGAGAATGGAGTGTAAACACAGATGGTCTCACTCAGAATGCTGTTGTCTCCTTTCTTAGTGACTTCAGGAGGCAGCAGCGACCGAAACCAGCTGTTATTCTTCTGAATTAGAAAACCATACAGCAACTGAGCGACCTGAGAGAGACAGATAGAAATAATGTCATATCTAAAACAGAATTTTTATTTATTATTACATTTATTTAAATAAATAAACAAATATTTTCATAAGTAAAAATTCTATATATTTTTGTGTGTGTGAG